AAATTATATATATTTTTATAAATATTTTTTTTATAAAAATATTTTTTTTTTTTTTTTTTTTTTTTAAGAACATTTAGAATTATCTCATTTATTCTGTGTAAAAGCAGGTCAGCGTCTAGCACCTGATTATTCATTGTTCAAACCAAGAAGCATTAATTATAGCCATCCAGCATCAAGACTTAGCCCTTACTTATGAAAAACCATGTGATGTAGATTTAATTCTTGTTGAACTTGCCGTTGTCTTCAATTATTAAGTGAAATTAGTTAAATGTATGTAGCAAAGCAGCATACACTAATGATTTTCCCTCTTTGTCTTGCAGGTTTCCCTGATTTTTCCAGGGAGTTCTCCCCCTTTTCAGTGATGGAGGGGTTGCAGTGTGATGGCTGTGACTTCCGTGCCGAGTCATACGAGGACTTGAAGACACACATTCAGGAAGTGCACACTGTTTTCCTGCAGCCATCAGATGCAGATGAGTCGGACTCCCTGAGAGGAGAGGATGAAGAGGAAGAGGAGGAAAATGAGGATAAGGAAGACAAGGATGACAAAGATTACACGCCTCCTAAAGCTGGAATAAGTATGCCCACCACAATCAGATGCTGTCGTTATTTTGTTTAGGATTAAGAAGCATTTCTTTTCTCTGTTTTAGAGGCCTTGTAAGTGCTGATGCATTTTAATGAGTACACAAAGAAATGTGTTTCTCTTGCAGAAAAAAAATAATTATATGAATAAAAACTCTGATAATAAATATTCTAAAATATATCTTCAATACTTGATTTTATTTTATTTTATTTTATTTTAGGTCCCAACTCTTCTGAAGGGCCCAACAAGACATCACAGAAACCAACTACTGAAACCCATCTCCCTTTTTACCAATGCCAGTTCTGCGTCCGTTACTTTCGGTCAAAGTCGTTCTTGAGAAATCACACCAAAAAGGTCCATAATGTCACAGAGGAAAAATCAGATGCAAGAGTCTCCTCAGACAACGCTAAGCAGGCCAGCTACACTGTAATAATGCACAACGATCATTCAAAAGTGTATTCCTGTCAGTATTGCACATACAAGTCTCCCCGCAAAGCAAGGATCGTAAAACACCAACTGATGTATCACAACAAAGTTCCCTCTCGTAGCGGCAAAGCTCAGCCGGAGGGCACAGAGGCTGGGGAGGAATCTGGAACAGGTGCGGAACTCGTCAAGGGAACTTTTCCCTGCGAATGGTGTGACTACCAGACTGACCAGAAGGACAGCTGGACTGACCATGTGGTAAAGGAACACAGTGATAAGGTGAAGATCGTTTCCGGCCCTGAAAATCTAGAAGGAGAACCAAGTGCAAGCTCACCCAAGCCCAGCTCTCCAGCCTCTTCCTCTAGCCCAACGAGATCAAATATGACTTTCACCGGAAATGAAGTTTCAGTGGAGAACCCAGAACAAATGGTGGAAAAGTCAGTTGCAGAAATCTCATCCATTCAATACGCACAGATTAGCGCAGTCACTCCCAACAGCACTGGTTCTTCTATTTTGTCAAAAAGATTCGCCTCCACTGATGTCTCCAACAGCGTCTCACATGTGGACACCAACTTGGTCAATGAGGATGACTCCAGGAGCAGCTTGGAGGATGACGACGATGAAGAAGAAGTGGGCGATATAGACGATCCCAGCTATACGGGAATCCTCTCCGCAGACGCAAAGCAACTGTTAACAGATGGCGATAATAAATTACTGGAAACTAAAGGGATCCCGTTCAGAAGGTACATGAACCGATTCCAGTGCCCCTTCTGCTCCTTCCTTACGATGCACAGGCGGAGCATCTCCCGCCACATCGAAAACATTCACCTCTCTGGCAAAACAACAGTGTACAAATGCGATGAATGCCCCTTTATTTGCACCAGCCCTTTGAAGCTCGGCACGCACAAGCAGAGCCACAATCCCTCAGATTTAGAGACATTGGACCTTACAGGGGATAGCCCAGTCTCTCAGAACGACGGTGCCACAGAGCCGCTTAACGGGGGCAATGTAAGCTCCAGAGTAAATGGGAAGAAGGCAACCAGCACATCTAATGACCAGCAGAACTCTCATCGCTGCACGCTCTGCAGCTTCTCTACCACCACTCTAAAAGGTCTGAGAGTCCACCAGCAGCACAAGCACTCCTACTGTGATGACCTCGATTCCACTGTCTTTGAAGCCCAGACGAGCGACCAGCCAGACGCTGAAGTGGAAGCTTCTCCAGTGTTCCTGCAAAAAACCCAGACGTCCATATTGGGATCCACCACCAAGAAAACATTAGTTGCAGGAAAAAGAGCCAGGAAGTCCATAAATGACCTTCCTTTGGATCTGTCCTCTGTCAAAAAGAGAACTAGAATTGATGAGATTGCCAGCAACCTTCAAAGCAAAATAAGCCAAAGCCAGCAGGACATGATCATTAACCTGGATGACATGGACGACGAATACAACGGGGAAAATAACGGCAGTGGTGATGAGAGTAAAACCAACGACAACAGGAACCCGATCTTTGCTTACAACACGCATCTGTTCAATCAAGAATCCTCAGTCTCTCAAGAAGTAGGCAGAACAGGGAAAAGAAAAAACAACCCCAAGTTAAAACAGAGAAACATTCCAATATCTCTGACTCTGTCTGATGACAGTGAAAACATTTCAGCTGATCCCAGTGACGGCACCATCCACGAGAACATGGACTATTCAGATGATTCTGGAACCATGCGCTTCTACTGTAAACACTGTGAATACCACAACAAATCAGCTCGAAGTGTCAGCACTCACTATCAGAGGATGCACCCTTACATCAAGTTCAGCTTTAAGTATATCCTGGATCCTGAAGACCAGAGTGCTGTTTTCCGCTGTTTAGAGTGCTACATTGAGTACACGAATTACAATGACTTGCACCAACACTACATGGATCACCACCCGGAAGCAAGCAACGTGCTTAATTTTAACCAACCGCATCTTTTGTACATGTGCCGCTTTTGCTCATACACAAGCCCCAACGTCAGGAGCCTGATGCCTCATTACCAAAGAATGCACCCCACCGTAAAAATCAACAATGCCATGATCTTCTCCAGCTACATTGTAGAGCAAAGTCACAAGACCAGTGAATCGCAAACCCTTCGGGAGATATTAAACTCTGGCCCCAAAAGTTTTAACTCTTCTTCTTCAGTGCCCAGGTCCTCCTCAAGCCCTGTGCCAAAAACGGCTCCAAAGTCTCCAGAGGCCAGTGGTGAGACAGAATCTCTAAAAGAAACCGTCAGCAATGTGGTTGTCTATGACTGTGATGTGTGCTCCTTTTCCAGTGCCAACATGCACTCAGTGTTGGTCCACTACCAAAAGAAACACCCAGAGCAAAAGGCATCTTATTTCCGTATACAAAAAACAATGAAGGTGGTGTCAGTTGATCCGTCACATCCTTTAGCAAACTCCTCCTTCAGCCCTGCCATCTCCAGCACTCCTAAACAATCCAATGTAACTCCATCTGTGTATGGATCAGATGAAGAAATGTACTACTGTAAACACTGCGTGTACAGCAACAAGTCTGTGGTTGGTGTGCTGGTCCATTACCAAAAAAGACACCCGGAAGTGAAAGTGACAGCTAAATACATCAAGCATGGTCCTCCCACTCCTGGTCTAATGAAATTAATGGATGAACTGCAAATTGCTGCTCCCAAGCAGTTTTTGAAGCAGTTTCAAAATAATGGCCACGATGGCTCGAAAAACTCCAAACTAGGTGGTGGTGAAAAAGGGGAAGAAGAACTGTTCTTTTGCCAGCACTGTGATTACGGTAACCGGACTGTAAAAGGAGTGCTTATCCACTATCAGAAAAAGCACAGGGAAACCAAGGCCAACGCCGACCTGGTGCGCCGTCACACTGCAGTGGTGAGGAGCCAGCGCGAACGAGCACAGATGGTCCAGTCTGGCAGTACTTCCTCCACTGCGATCTCGGCTTCTGCTGATCACGAAAATGCGACGCCTATGCGTTCACTGAAGTGCAGACACTGTCCATATACAACCCCCTACGTTTACGCCCTGAAGAAGCATCTGAAGAAGGAGCACCCTACTGTCAAAGCAACAGCCATGACCATTTTACATTGGGCTTACCAAGATGGCATTCTGGAGGCAGGTTATCACTGCGAGTGGTGCATCTATTCTCATGCAGATCCCCAGGGCCTTTTGCTTCACTACCAAAGACGCCACCCTGAGCATAATGTTGATTACGCATACATGGCCAGCAAGCTGTGGGCAGGCCCAGAAACCACCCAGCAAGGAAATACGGATACAAAACATTACAAATGTAAAGATTGTGCCTTTGAGGCTTGCTCTATATGGGACATTACAAGTCACTACCAGGCCGTCCACCCCTGGGCTATCAAAGAGGATGAATCTGTGCTTTTGGATATCATCAAAGGTGATGGCACTGTTGAAAGTTTCCAGCAGCAGGTTACAAAGGAGCCTGGACTTCTGAATTGCCAGTCTGATGAAGGAGTACTAGTTATTGCCACCCCACCTCAAGAAACCCAGTCCCACCCACGTCTTTCTATTTCTAACAATCCTTATCAATGTACTGTGTGTCTGTCAGAGTACAACAGCCTCCATGGCCTCCTCACTCACTATGGCAAGAAGCACCCAGGCATGAAAGTAAAAGCTGCAGATTTTGCACAAGAGGCAGACATCAACCCCAGCTCCGTTTATAAATGCCGGCACTGTCCGTATGTAAACTCCCGCATTCACGGAGTCCTCACTCACTATCAGAAACGGCACCCCTTGGTGAAGGTAACCGCCGAGGACTTTGCAGACGATATAGAGCAAATCTCTGAATTGCACGAAGGAGACGACAAGTTCAAAACTCAGAGGCAGGGCTACGGTGCCTACAGATGCAAGATGTGTCCATACACCCATGGGACACTTGAGAAACTTAAAATCCATTATGAGAAATATCACAATCAGTCAGCCTCAGATATGTTCACACCCTCTCTGAGTAATTTTGCCTCCTTCAGAGAAACGGAGCCGATTGCTGAATGCAGCAGCAGTAATATGTCAAGCACTGCTAAAGTCCAGGAGGTGAGTGAGTTGGACTTTGCCCTCTCTCAGTTACCCATCAATAAGCCAGAGAAACACGCTGTGTTCAAGTGTCAGCTTTGCAAGTACTTCTGCTCCACAAGGAAAGGCATTGCCCGCCACTACCGCATCAAGCACAACAATGTGCGCGCTCAACCAGAGGGTAAAAACAACGTCTTTAAATGTGCATTGTGCTCTTACACAAACCCTATCCGCAAAGGCCTGGCCGCACACTACCAAAAGCGCCACGATATCGATGCCTATTACACTCATTGCCTGGCTGCCTCCAAGACGATGAGCGATAAGCCCACCAAAGTGATTGCTCAGCCGCCATCAGATGGGGAATGCTCAGAAATGAGCGAGGAGTTGCGTTTGGCGGTAGAGAGGCGGCGATGTAACCTCTGCGGATTCCAGGCCTTCAGCAGGAAGAGCATTGTTTCGCACTACATAAAACGCCACCCTGGCGTCTTCCCCAAGAAGCAGCATTCCAGCAAACTCGGCCGCTACTTCACCGTTATTTACGCTAAAGAGCCTGAGAAGGCTGAGGAAGGCTTGCCGGAAGAAGAGGACAAAGAGGTGTTGGAGGTCCCGCTACAGCCGGAGGAGGACGGTGATGATGACTGGCTTCCTTTCAAGTGTCTGAAATGCTACCGGTTGTTCTTTAGCACGGGGCAGCTGCTATCTATGCACTACAATGACCATCACAGCGTAGACCTTAAGAGGGATTTCTTGGTGTCATCCACCCCTGAGGATGAGGAGTCTGAGTTATACGAATGCTCCCACTGTGAATTGAAGTTTACGGGTCTACCTGATCTGGCCGATCATCTACTGCAGCACAATGAGGAGTTTGAGAAGAGAGTTATGAGACTGGAGAGGAAGAAGCAGGTTCTTGGCAAGCAGAAAGGAACAGAGCCGCCGGATAATAAACATGAGAAGGTGAGCATAATGAGCTCTCATGGAATTATTTTGGCTTCAGACGGACAGTTCAGAATGTCTCTTTTATGAGCAATTAGTATCTGTTGTAGCGTGTGAATGTGTGTATGAATGGGAATGACTGATTTCATTGTAAAGCGTGTTTGAGGGTCCTGAAAAGTGCTATGCAAGTCTGATATCAATTCATTTCATTTCATAGATGATACTCATAGCACTTTTATGTAATATAAAACTTGACTACCTGGTCCCAGAGGCTGAAATGTATAGACAGTCCAAGAAGACAAAGACCAAAGTGGATTTCTTCCATTTTCAGGTCCAAGTTGAAAAAAGAAAACATCGTAGTGGTTAATGCAAACCTAGATTGTTTAATCATAATAGTCACAACTACTCAAAAACATAATGGCATCATTCCATTTGTGCTTTCTGCCTTTCTGTAGTTGTACATAACAATGCATTTTAATTAGTTTCATTGAATGGTTGTTAAAAATACCTTCAGACTTATCGGAACGGTTAGAAGTTTTAACTTCCTGGAGAAAATGTAAGCTAAAAAGAACATGACTTATCAAATATTTTTTGTTTATTAATAGTTTAGTCATTAGGGAATCTTAACTGTATAATTTTTCTACAGCTTCTATAAAAATGGTTGAATAAACCAGATTCAGTCTTTTTTTTTTTTTTTTTTTTTCATTTTTGTCATCAGGAAAGCCTTGCAAATAAAACCCCCATAGGATTCAGGTGCAACTTCTGCGTGGAGATCCACCCGACCCTCCGAGCCATCTGCAACCACCTTAGGAAGCACGTCCAGTATGGAGAAGCCAAACGGGGTCGTGTCAAGGTGAGCAAAGCCGTTCGATATCTCTGTGTTACCGATGTAGTCGTAGGCAAGTCATTCTTTCCAAGGACGTAATTACACAAATGTTTAACACAACAATAATACATGTACAAAAGGTAAAAGATGCTTTCAATCACACTTTAACGCTAGTATCTTTAGATCATGAGCTAATCATCTCAGCGTCTTGAGACGCTCGTGTTAACGACTTAATTGTTATGTAATTGCGAGAATCCACTTATGGTTATCAGGAGGTATGCGGAGTGTCGTGCCGGCATGCATGGCTGGTATTTTAATCACTGCAGCAAGTGATTGGCTTAAAATGTGTCATCAAACAGGGATGCTCCAGCTCCGGCAATCTCTCATATTTTGCATACTGTAAGAAAAACGATTTTTCACATTTTTGATTTAACATGACAAAAGGTATGAAAGAGGGATGTGGGACCACTTGAAATTGAAAACTTGTGAGTTTGTTTTAAATCTAAGAGGAAAGTTCAACTTACAGTGTTCCTAAATGATTAAGAAAAGTTCTGAATTTCAATTATTTTCCAATCTCTGTAGGAAGAAAAAATAATGCGCTCTTCCATCCATCCATGTCTCTCTACAGTTTGTACTTCCATCCATGTTTGTGTGTGTGATACATCCCTCCATCCTACATAGTTTATTTTTATCTTAAGAGATCAAATGGACTAAAAACTTCTGAAAAGTATTGCAATTGGATCTGAAAAATCCGTAGGCTCTTCATGCTTAATAAGAACTTTAACATCATAACAAATGTATGTAGACAGTGTCCTAGATTTCCTTCAGTACACCAAGCTCTAATTCCTGCCCCCTTGCTGTTGTAATCATCAACAATAGGATGTCAAACTGTTCCTGTAAGAAAATTAAGCTCCCCTCAAAATGACACTCCATGCAAATGTAAAGATTCCTGCTGTGCTAAAATGATCCACGGATCTTTTTTTAGGGTGTTGTAAAAGCACACTCTGCTGGTCCCCGGTGATTCTGTTGTATTTTCTAACTCCCAGCCTCTGAAAATTGCAGTAGTCTGAAATGAGTTGTGCTGTCCCATCCTAAGCAAGACGATGGAGCTGTGAGCTGTAACTTTTTAGACAGTCACTGGCAACAGTTTGTGCATTAATAATCCACTGAGACTACCACAGAGGGCAACGGGCCTGGGGATCCAACGACATACTCGGACCGAGGCCTGACTCGTCCATCAAACTTAGCCTGTGTTTACTTTTACTTGTCCAGGAGGAGGTAGGCAGGCAAGCACAGAGCATGAAGCAGGAAAAGTTTTAGGCTTGCTCTATATGTTTTTTTGTGACTATCACAACACCTATATATATATATATATATATATATATATATATATATATATATATATATATATATATATATATATATATATATATATATATATATTTATATATATATTTTTTTTTTTTTTTTTTTTTTGGTTGGTAGCAAGTAGTGCATAATAGCAAAGTGGGACAATAACTGTACATAATTTTCTTTTCTTTTTTTTCTTTTTTTTTGCTTTCCAAATCAAAATCTGCAAAGTGTTTGGTGCATTTGTATGCAAACTCCACGAGTATATATTTAGCAATACCATCTTTCGCTGTGATTAGAGCTGCGATTCCTTTGGGCTATTTCTCCACCAGCTTTTTGTCTCCAGAGACTGAAATCTTTGTCCATTCCTCCCTATAAGATCTCAGTCAATTTGGATGGAACGCATCATTGAAGATCCAATTTGACCTTTTGCCACATATTCTTAATGTAGGTCTGAACTTTGTACCATTGTGACACATGAACAGGCTTCGAGCTAAACCATTTCATTGCAGCTCTAGGGTTGGGTTGCTGTCTTCCTTAAAAGGCAAACCTCCAGGCACTCTTTAGTCTTCACACCTTCAAACAAGGTTTCCTCCAGGACTAGCCCTTTATTTAGGCACTTCGATTTATTTAAGAAAACCATACCCACAGCCTGATGCTGCCTCAGCCATGTTTCAACGTGGGGATTTTGTGCAGTGTTGGTTTTTCACCACACGTGGTGTTCTGCATGCATCCCACACAGATTTTTACTTAAGCAACAATTCACAGCCATGGATCATTTGCATTTCACTATTGTAAGTTTTAAATTAACATATTTACTTTATTGATTAAACTTACCATATAAGAGGAAGAGTTAAAAGCAATGTTTTTCAAATGTTTTTTTTTTTTTTTTTTTGTTTTGTTTTTTTCAAATCGAGTTTTAAATCAGGAAGGGTTTCTGATGTAGATGAAGAGCAGGCAGCAATGGTGAATTCAGGAACTGGTTGTCTCTGTGGTTGGTGCTTCTTATTTATGGCTGCCTGAAGTGCAGGGTCAGGTCCTTTACACAGGCAAAATGAGTTTTCTCTTGGCAATAAAGAAAAGGAGTGCAGTGGTTGTCTTTCTACTCTCCATGGTCGTAGTTACTGGCCTGCTTCTCCAGCAGATGAGGAAAATAAAAGGGAAACCGAAGGATTTTGTTTGCTTGTCTGTTTGTGCAAATAGAAGCAAAATTCATGCAAAGTTCCAGCTTTAATTTCTAGCCAAACCAAAGTGATCCGTTATAATAAACAGTTATGGACTGACATGCTGATTGAGTAATAATGAGTTTTAAGCACCACAAATTAATCCAGTGGGTTAAAATTTGATTGGTGCGTCCGTCTCAGTGAACGAACAGTTTTTCTTTTCTTTTGCTTTGCTTCGCAGCAGGAAGTCGCCGACGTACCCCTGACTGTGCCCTCACACACTCTAACCAACGGCGTCCTGGAAGAGGACGAAGCAGCCGAAGTCGACGGCACCGACGGACCCGAAACCTCATCGTTCTCCCCTCCGTTTTCAACTCGTTCCGCCGATCAGAACGTTGACGGCGTCGAACTGGAGACCCTGGATCCGGACGCGGAGGTGGAGGGACGGGCGGCCGCCCTCGTGGCTGCCGCCAGAGCCACGACGTCGGGGACCCAGCTGAATCACCGGCTGGCAACCGGGGGCCACGCGTGCTCCCAGTGCGACCGGGTCTTCATGTCCATGCAGGGGCTGAGGTCTCACGAGAGGAGCCATTCGGCCATGGCTCTGTTCAACAAAGAGGACAAATACAGCTGCCAGTACTGCCATTTCGTCTCACCCTTCAGACACAAGTAAGTGAAGAGGAGTCAAGCTGCTGAAACCTGACGTTATTTTCCTCTTCATCTTCGATGCAAATATAGGTTTACATATGAATACGTGCATTTACATACATTCCTGCATGTGGCTCTGTGGCTCGGTTGGTCCCTTCTTACAGGTTCAGTTTAAAAGAAATGAATTGAAGAAAAGAAATTGAATGGATCCCTGAACTTCACCATTAGGTCACTAAAACATTGTTCCTACATAGTCTTTAAAATGAATCAAATTAGATTCCTGCTTCAGAATTGGAACAGTTTCCATCTTTCCTACTTCCTGTCTCTCTTCTGTCCTTCTCTTTGTCTGTCCTTGTCTCCCATCCTTTCCCGTGTCATTCCCTTTTCGTTTTCTTCTTGTCTTCTTCCATCGTCACATTCTTCGTTTTCTTTGTCTTCCCTGCATTGTTCGTGCTGTCCTTTCCTGTTGTTCTTGCTTGTTCTATTTTCATCCTTCCTCACTTGCATCCTTCCTTTTTTAATTTATTTCTTATCCTTCCTATAGTCTTTCTGTCCTTCTTTATTTCTTTCTGTCATGACTAGTTTCCTTTCATATTCATCGTTCTTTTCTTTCCTACCGTGTATTTCTGTCCTTCCACCCTTCCTTATCGTTGTCTTGTTCTTGCCTTTCCTTCCATAATGTGATCCTTTCCTAACTCCATCCTTGTTATTCAATCCTTCCTTTCCTCACCGTCTTTCCTTCCTTGTGTCCTACATTCTTCATTCTGTTCTTTCGTGTCTTCCCTTCCTTCTACGCATGTTGTGTTCTTTCACTTTCTTTCTTCTTGTCTGAGTTTGTGCTTTTTGCTACATCCATATATAAAACCTCCCTAGTGTAGAGATTCATTAGAAATTTTTGATTCTATTTTTAAGAAGTTGAACAGGACAGAAGACGCTGGGAATCTGAGTCTGGAACATTTTTGTATTTTTTGCGTTAAAAAGCAGCTAACAGCGGGCAAATTTGAAGGACGGCGTTTGTAAACACAGGATTTATGAATTCAGATGGGAGCAGTGACTAGAAGCTCATACATGTGGGTGGGATGGGCCTACATTACAGTACCGGTTCTGTTAGTCCTGTCTTGAATTAAGAAGAATAAAAACTAACTCGGGAGTTAAAACATTTCATTAACTCCACTTGTATTGGTCACCACCAGCCTGCCTCCCGTTACTGATGAAAGCATTTGCTTCTCCTGGCTCAGCAGAGGTTTGGAGCTCAGATCGAACTCGTTTTTTCAGCACCAGAGTCAGTCAAGAAAAACCCGTTCTAAGCAACCGTTTCTTTTGCACACAACCCGGTTTCACATTTGTCCAAATATCCATTTTGAGCATTACGTTTGTGGGACAATGCTAAAAGAATATCTTGTTTTTTTGCAATATATATATATATATATATATATATATATATATATATATATATATATATATATATATATATATATATACATATATATATATATACATATATATAATTTCTTGAGTTGTTACATCATTTGTGACATTATGCGCTGTAGGTGCATTAATTCTTTTACTTCACATCAGGCAGGGAGAATGGTCTCACTTAGTCACTTAGCTGAATCTGCATGCACCGTTTGTTGGAGATGCAGGCCCCAGTTTCCTACATTTCAAACCGTTTCCTCGAACACCCTTCCATTCTGACAACATCTGCCGTTTCAATCGCCTGGCTGTTGAACTCATTTTGTTCCGAGCACAGTTTTACACCTCGCTCTGTTTACCTGATCGCAATCCCTCCGAATCTCCAATCTTCTCCGAGATTTCCTGCCTGTTAGGAGAGCGAAGGGCAAACATTACAGCGAGAGACGGGACATTTTGGTCCTGCGATTTGTTTTATCTGCCGCAGAGACGGCGAGAGCGAGAGGGGGAAAGGGAGAATCCTCATCTCCTCTGAGCTCCCAGGTGTAATCCCTCTGCACTGTACATGCCCCGACCCAGAAAGAAGCTGCGTTCTCGTGCCACCGCAGAGGGACTGGCGTTAAAAAACACAGCTCCAACCATCGCCACAGGATACTGACGCACTCATTCCCTGAAGGGGATTGTGGGTAGATGAGTTCATCCCTCTTGGCTCCATGTTATGCAGTCATTAGCAAATATTTAGCTCTTGTTAGTTAGATGAACATCATTACCCTTTTCTCCTTTCTCCTGTTCTAATCCAAACATTCCTCCTTTATTTATTTTATTTATTTTATTATTTTTTTCATGTTTTGCATCACGGCAGCCTGGACAGACATGTGCAGTCTCACCATGGTCACCACAAGCCGTTCAAGTGCAAGTTCTGCCCCTTTAAGTCTGCCTACGCGAGTCGCTTGAAGAGCCACCTGCATAAGGCCCACACAGGTAAACACACACCTGCACACACAGTTGCATTGAGTCACACGTTACAGCAGAAAGCAGAAGGACTAAAACAGCAACAAATTCATTACTATACAGAGCACAGCTTAAGATCCGTTTCTGCTGAAACGCAAAGTTGCTTATCTTCAGCTGAGGATAAAAGTTCGCTGATGTCTTCTGCTGTTCGACCAGGAACTTGAAATGTTCAAAATGTGATGTTCTCCCTAGATAAAGCTCAGTAAGGCAGTGATTTTCCAGCCTAACCACTTCTTGTGAAGCCACATTGCAGTCAGATCAGATTTGCTACCTTGCTTTTTGAGCACATGCAACAGAAATGAGGAAACTTGAATCTGTGGCGGCGTCACGGTGACGATGTCGGCAACACCGACTGATAAGATCAAGGCTTTTTGAAATGGCTCGGCCACCAGTTTTACCAGCAGTTTACTACTGTGAATCGTTTCAGTGAGATCTCTATAATTAACACAAATAAATAAAAAAATTTATAGTTTCTCAAGTGCTCTACCAGAAGCCTTTTTAATTTATCTCGATGGAAATCAAACGCTAAATACCTGGTCAGACTTTTAGTTCAGTGGAGAATTTTTCAACCACACCCAAATTCCTTCCACTTCGTTTCCAAAAGTCTGTATTTTCTTCTGTGCCATTTGAAAAGTTGCCATGCCCCTTAAAACTTAAAACTTTTCTTTTTTATACATTTTGTTCTTGTTATGACCTCGAACATTAACGTATGTTATTGGGATTTTATGTGATACACCAACACAAAGCGATGTATAAATGTGAAGTGGAAGGAATGCCATAAAAAAATATTTAACATTCTTGACAAATAAAGATCTGAACTTTGATTAGGCAATGCTAACACATTGATCTGAAGCTATTTTATTAAAGCCATGGGGTCGAGAACCATTTTTGACAGCCTCTAACTGGATTGAATATTGGTGTTTGAACTGTCCAAAGCTTTAGATGTAGTTTTACAGCCCACTGCCGTTTGTGTTTCATGTTTCACATTCTTGTTTGCCAGTATCATTTGAAAACCAATTCACAATTATGTGCTATTTTGTGTTGGTCCAAAAAAATATACAGTGTAGTTTGTGGTCATAACGTCACAAATGTTCCAGGAGTACGAATATTTTTACTAGATACCACGAATACAAAGGGGAGCCCTAATGATTCCAGGTTATCTTGCCTGTTACAAAATAATACAGATGGCTTTGTTTCTGCAAAAAAAAAAAAAAAAAACTAACTGTTTCTCTAATAATGGATAACAATATATATATATATATATATTTTAACATTTGTTCATTTCCTTCCAGGTGAGCAGTACACATACAAGTGCTTGTCCTGCCCATTCTCCTCTATGACCATCAGCCAGCTGAAGGAGCATTCTCTGACGGACCACGGCGAGGTTCTGACCCTCCCGAAACTCCGAGCTGCCACCCAGGCTGCGCACGCTGCTATCAGGCTCCCCCGACAGGCTGCGCACACTGACCATTCTCATCTGACCACAGATGGTATAACGTCATCTTCAATAAGTTTTTCAATAGATGGGAGACTACTCGATAGTATCAGGCGGAGAAATTGAGAAGTTTTTGAAGGTTTACACGCTGATGTCTTGGATGCAGATTACAAAACGGGCCGGATGGAGATGAAAGTAAAAGTTGCCCTGTGTACTTTCTCACATTCTATAGCATTAGTTGGAAGATTTTTTTTTTTTATCCCCCCCCCCTCCAAGTCAAGCTAACAAGTTTCACATCAACTATTTTCATTCCCTTTTTTATGTCAGACATCTTGATGCACTTACAAAGACAAAATCTGCTTTGGATTCTTGCCTTCCAGGTCTCCCCTCAGTTTCGTCTTTGACGCCTTTTCTTTGCCGAATATGTTTAGTCGAAGCGGCGCTCTGGCTGCAGCTTGACACGCTGCTGTGTTTTTTAGGTGTTGCCGTGGTTTTTTTTTTTTTTTTTTTTTTTTTTTTTCCAGCCGCGTCGTCGCTTGCAGGCTTTTCTTGGCAGCAGCTGTCACCTTGCTGCTGGAGCTGTGGAATCTTCCCTGGAGCCGGAGCGGTGCAGCATTCCTCAGTGCACCATCCACTGCTGTCAGCTGTGCACTACCAGGACAAATGAAGCATTGAGAGAGAGCAGAGCTGACATATTGAATGTCTCCATGCTGCGTCAAACCAGCCACCTTCCGCTGAATATCTGAAATTCAGACCAAGCAAGTCTTTATTTCTTTTTTTGTTCTTCCTTGTGAAGATCGCCTGGTCAATTGCCTCTGCTTTTAGAAGCAAAATCTGTCGGTAATCGAACTGACACTCGAACCTGAAAATATTTAAGCTGACAATGTGGTTGTGATTTTGATCAAGACCGTCAACAACTGCATGGTTCTCCTTCTTCAACAGCGGAAACAGGAGCGCCGGCTCCATTTCATTCAAATCACCACTGAATTTGTTTTGTTTCTGCTTTTCGTCTTTTTTTTAAATTATTTTTTCAGTGCAGAGAGGATAATAAAACATTAATCAATTGTGGTACATCTGAACTTCTCTACCTCTTCTGCAAATGTCTAAAATCGGATCTTAGACAAAAAATAAAATGTAAAAAGTGCAAGCTTTCCTTTTGTAGCTCTTCTCACTTTGAGTGCTGAATTCGGCTTTTCCTGCATGGGTACATGATCTATTAGTGTGCCTTCCGCTTATTTATTGATGTGTTGGAGGCTCAAAGTAGGACGAAAGCATGAGCCCAATCACTGATATCATAGACCCTTGGGAGGGGGGAAAGGAGGATGAAGATGACTGAAGACGCTCATGCTTACTCTCTTATATATACGATAGTGAAATTGCGCAGTTTGACACAGCAAATCAATTCAGTGCTGTAGCAGTGGGTGGATTACTTTGTTTTATGCAAGACGTGTATGAATTAAACAAATGAGCCAGTGATGTGAACAGTCTTGCGGATGCACGTTTGAAGCTTAAGCTACACAAAATGTGACTTCTGTGACTTGTAGTTTCTGACTTGAAGTTTCTTTTTGTTTGTGGGCCAAACAGATGTTATTTGATTTATGTTCATATTTTATTAGAGTGACTCAACAACCTCAAGTCTGCTACACGTCAGCAGATCTTGTTTTGTCTTCATAATGCAGAGGTCCGCTTAAGTTCCTCATGAATAAGTTTCAAAGGTGTGATGAGCTCGGATACCTGTAGCATCGTCAATAAGCAGAAAATATGTAAATATGTGTTATCATCCTGAAAGCTACAGGTTGATCATACATAGGAGAAAATGTATTTTTTGTAGTCTGGAGATGAGGGAAATATGAATTTAAATGGATATTTAAATGGATTGTCAATATAAAATGCAGTATTTCAGTTCGAGTGAAGTTGTGTTTTTATGTTGGCCAGTTCCAGAAAGAGCTAAACATCTTGTACCGTTCTAATAAATTATTGTTCAATTATAAAACCAGAAGTGAAGGAAGGTTTGTATTTATTTGGTCAGTTATTACACAGCCGAGGAAATTTAGAAGTATTTTTAAACGGTGCAGAATTATGAAATGGAAACAAAAAAAAAACTACTGGCTGTTTTAATTTAGTTTTTTTTTTCCTTTATTTTTGTTTGTTTGTTTTGTTTTTACAAGAAAGGCTGAAAAGTAGGATGTTCAGTCCCATTTATTCCAAACTGACATTTTGTTGTAATCACAGTTGCAACTCTGTCGGGCTATGTTTCCAGCTACTTTAATTTAACTTTAATTTTATTTTTGCACATAAATCAATTAGAATTTATTTTTTTTTATTCAGCTAGAATGATGGAGAGGGCTGTGAACAGCCATTATCAGGTCTTTGTTGTAAAGGTCTGGACTCTGACCTGGCCATCATAAAACATGATTATGCTTTGAGCAGAGCCTTTCCATTTTATCTCTGGATGTGCGATTAGATTGTTGTCCTGCTGAAACGTGAACCTCTGCCCACTCTCGTGTCTTTAGGTGACTTTTAATAGAATTTCTTATAGGATTGCTTTTTGTTTAGCTCCATCCCTTCTCTCATCATCTTTGACCATCTTCACAATATTCACAATTTTTCCACCAAGAAGCTATTTTCAGGTTGACATACGGTGTTGCTTTTAGCTGCAGCATTTTTACGTTGCAGTGTAACAACGGCTTTCTTCCAGCATTTAAAGTAACTGGATAGAAGTTGTTCCGTTCAGAGATTCTCCCACCTGAGCTGTGACTCTCTGCAGCTCCCATAGAGTTACCACAGGCTGCTTTTCTGATTGCTTTTCTTGCCCATTCTGCCAGTTTCGGTAGGCTTGCCATACTGTTTCTGTTTTAAAGGGATTCATTGGGCATTGTTACACGAACTATCCAAAGCTTGGAATGTTGCTTTATAAGCTTTCACACAGTCCTTCATTTTTGACATGTCTGTTGTGTGGTTTGCAATTAACAGCTGTAATTTCCTGAGATGAAATGACTCAATTTTTAAGATTGTAATATTCTCTCTCTTTCTCCTGCCTCTTTCTCAGATCCGTCGGACCTGGAGCCAGCTGATGTTTGCGAGGAGCTCACTCGCTACAAGCTGGCTTCCCGGAGTCAGATGTCTTCCAACTTCCAACCCGGCAGCTCCACGCCGTGCGGCTTGCTCACGTGCGAGTTCTGCGAGTTCAGCTCCGGGTACATGCAGAGTCTGCGGCGGCACTACAGGGACCGCCACGGCGGCAAGAAGCTCTTCAAGTGCAAAGACTGCTCCTTCTTCACCTGCTGCAAGTGAGAGAAAGCTCCCGACCTTCTTATCGAAGCGCTCCCGTTTTTATTTTGAAATGTTACTAAGGGTGCAAAATCCGTCCGTAAATGTTTTTCAGGGATAACTTTTCACTGCATGTCGAGGCTGGTCACAACAACAGCGGAAGCGGGGATTTACCTAAGGAACTGCATTGCCCTCTCTGCCTCTACCACACCAAACACAAGAGCAACATGATTGACCACATTGTTCTGCACAGAGGTACGTATTACTGGTCATGGGAAGTATGAGTTTTACTGGAGCGGTTCGAGATTTTTGCCGTTTGTTTATTTATCAGTGAAAACTCTCCTGTTGTTCCAAGGTTCCAACATACACATCGAGTAAAGAATTAATCTAAGAATTTTTTTTTACAGTTTGACTTATTTGACATCCTGTTCTAATTTCTAGATTCTTATTATTTATGTTTGACATGCAATGTATTTTTATATAAGGGTTTAATTCTACGATTCAATTTGAAATTCAGTTTTATCTACTCTGTTCAACGAATGAAGCTGAGCTTAAGGCTTAGTTTAGGTTTAAAGAAATTTAGTTTAGCTTACTTTATTTTATTTTAATTTTTTTGTCTTAGTTTAGTCAAGTTTCCCTTAGTTTGGGTCAGTTTGCCTTAATTTTTCTCGTTTTAAGTCAATTAACGTCTTAAAACAAGGTTCTTGGTCGGGTCATGTTTACAGAACCTGCTAATTCTTTAAACACACTAATAAAATCCAAACCAAAGAAACAGACTTTCCATCAACTTACCCTTTATGAATCTTCTGTGTTCGTTGTTTATAAAAGTTTTATTTCTACTTGACATTTTTATGGTGGATGGAGAAGATTTTCAGTAATGCATCTAATGTAAGCCTCGACCTAGTGTAGATAAAGTCAAACGTAAGTAAACGTTAACATTTTAGTTCCACAGACTGGAAAACTGCTGCTTCTTTACTTTTTTTTTTCTTCCCCTGGGGTCTGTCACTGGTTCCCTGGCAACCTCACAGTGACGTCAACGACTACAGGAAGTCCCACAGTGCTCTGTTTGCTTTTCCTCACAACAGCCCACAAAATGTGCAGCACTGCACACATATCTAATTTAGATTCACACAAATCTTCCTCCTCCTCTTCCCGTCTGTTAAGAATGAAACTAATTTTCACTTCCCTCTCCATCAGAAGATCGTGTGGCTCCTCTGGAGATCAGCCGCTCCAAGCTGTCGCGTCACCTAGAGGGCCTTGTGCTTCGCTGCCACAAGTGCACCTTCACATGCTCAAGTGACCATGCCCTGCAGCTCCATCTGCAGAAGCATGACGAGCTTAAGCCCTACCAGTGCCAGCTCTGCTACTATGACAGCAGCCGCAGCAGCCAGCTAGAGGAGCACCTTCGCCTTGAGCACAAGGTCAGTTGGAGACCAATATGTGCGGTTTTGCATAGCTACATTTTCCATGGGTACACAGAAACTATGAGCGGACTTTCAATGAGCGGAGTCTTGTTGGGTGAACTACACCAGGGAGTTTAGTAGCAGCAGAAGAAATGGATACCTTTGTAACTAGGTTAAAATCAGAGAAGAAAATAAATAAGGCTGGACTTGGGATGTTTCAGAAAGGAGACTTTTCTTTGATGGCTGCAAAAACAAATGATCTCTTGCTGAAGATAAACTATTTTTGCCTTTGTTTTCCTCTGGAATCTAAATCCTTCAAAAGCCTCCATTTCTAATTAAAATTCTTTTAAAAGTGTGATGAAGAGAGCAGCACCGTTTCAGGGTGAAGCTAAAGAATTCAGAGATCGATCTTTTTGTGCTGAGAGCGTTGCAGAGCACCATTCACCTAATTCTTCAGCAGGTGTTTCACAAAGTGCAAAAAGAAAGAATAACCTCTTTTAATCTGTTTCACGAGGTTCTAAAAAAATCATCAGTTTAATTAAATATATGTGAGTAACTGCATTTTGTGACTCTTATAATTGTAGCTCTATTTAGTAAAAAAAAAATGCAGGCCTTCTAAAAAGCAAAAGTTATCCCAAATCACAGAAGAGAACATAAATATTGATTTTCAATCAAGTTTTTCTGATTAAACTTGAACCTGCTTTGCTTTTATATTTAATGCTCTGAATCTTGTTTAGATCTGGTTATTCTAGCTTTAATAAGCATATAAAAGTCACCGAATGTTCCTGATCCAAATTAAAATGAAAGAAAAAAAACTTTCTTTAGAAAAGTGGGAAAAAAAAGGGGTGTCAATTTTGCACAGTTCTTGAGTTGCAGTATTTTAAACTCCTCCAAATGAAAGGCATAATAAAAGCTCTCAACAGAATGCTGACGTCTTGTTTCTGATCAGGTCATCCGTAACTTCGAGCTGATGGGCCGAGTCAACCTGGATCAGCTGGAGATGCTGAACGAGCAAGAGAGCAGCGCAGAGGAGGAAGCTGAGAGTGAAATTCTGGAGATGGTGGCGGACGGAGAGGCCACCATGCAGGGGGAGGAAGAGGAGGAGGACGAAGAGGAGGTGGACGACGATGACGACGACGGAATGGAAATCATCGAGAACATGGTGGATGACCAGGAGGAGACGGATGACAAAGGCAGGGAGGAAAACATCAGAGAGGACGGGGAGAATGAGGCGGTGGAGGAAGAGGAGCAAGAAGAGGAAGAACTGCAGGAGGAGGAGGAAGATGATGAAGAAGAAGAAGAAGAGGAGGAGGAGGAACAAGAAGTCAAGGAGGTAGTGAAGGAAAACACTGTCCCGCAAGGTAAAACTCCACATCAACCAAAGGCACTTCTTGTATGAAATGTTTATGGAACATAAGAAGAAATAATTTAACACTTTTAGCAGTGTTAGAATGATGAGCTAATATTTAAAGGAGCAGCTATTTCCATCAGATACAAAGAGGTAGAAACGGCAGCAACCGGTTGTGACCGAGCTGCCGGTGAAAGTAGCTAAACTTTTCTGTGGACCAACTCTTAACTGGCTCACTTTGCGCTGAACTTAACCATTTGTTTCAACTCCGTTTCCCAGAAGTCCTCGCGTCTCCCAGCAGCACCAGCTCTGGGCCAAGCGGCGGAGAGAAGCGACTTCCCTGCGAGTTCTGTGGCCGCTGCTTCACCAACAGCCTGGAATGGGAGAGGCACGTCCTGCGACACGGCATGTAAGTCTCAGCGCTGCTGCTTCCATCTGGGCTTTTTTCTCTCTTTTTCTCCCTCTCTCTTTCTCTCTGCCTCTCTCCCTCTAACTACCTCTCTGTCTCTCACATGTTGGTTCTAAAAATGGACCAAAAGTTGACTGGAAGCTGCTAATTTCACTCTGGAAAAGTATGGGTTTTGGAATTTGCTGTAGGAGCCCAGGAATTAATTTGCTTTTATGGATTCCATCTGCCAAAGTTGCGCCTCCAGGAAGCCAAATTTTGTGAAAGGAATGCAACTAGTCTGACATGTCTCTCCTTCTTGTCCCCCTCCTTCGTCTCCAGGGTAGTTAACAACATGCGCCTGGACACCGGCTCCACGTCAGCTGCTGAGGCCTCGGCTCCGTCCTCCAGTGACTCCTCTGTTAACGCGGACTCGAGACTGGACCCGGCCAGTAACGGCAAAGAGGAAGAAGATCCCACTGATCTCTCACTGACTAGTCAGAGCCAGTATGTGGAGGACAAAGAAATGCTTCACACCAAAACGGATCAACAGTCTCCTTGAACTGATTGTAGCGACTTCATGCTTAAAACAATTGGGAAAAATCAGCGCAGAAGCCTTTGGGAGGTTAAAATTTAAAGAAAAGTGACTTTTATCAGTTGGTGCATTAGTAGATTTTTTTTTTTTTTTTTTTTTTAGGTGTTACATATATAAGTATTAGGTTGTGCTGCATAAAAAATAAAAAACGTCTGAGCCCCTTTAAATGGGCAGTCCCCTTGGACAGAACTTAATATATTGGTAACCAATAGTGAACAGAACTCTTTTATCGCTGACATTCTGGTCACATCCACCAAGAAAGATCCCTACCTTGACGAAACCAAGCTATTTATGAAGAATATTGTCCAAATCTAAAGTTAGCATTTTATTATTTCCAGCATCTTTTGCTTCCAGGTTTGGTGAATTTTACCTTTTTAAACCAACGATGGGTGAAAGAGGTAATCGTTTGCCCCAGTGAACAGCGACCAGTTCTTACTCCTTGGTGAAAATTTTGGACTTTTTTTTTCCCATCCTGTGTTAAATGTGTGGGAATATTCCTTAGAAATAATGGCACCTTAACCTATGTTAGTATGAATCAAAAGTCATCTTTTCCTCATTTTAGAGATTTTCAACATTTTTTCCAGCCTTTGTAGCAAATTGCTATAATCTAGGTCCCTTTATATTATATTATACTGAGTATAAGCCTTCAACCTGTGATGCCCGGCTCCTTTAACTTTAACTTTTTGTTTGTCCTATTGGTGAATTTACACAACTCCCCGTTTATCCCTGTCAGATTCATGTTGCTAATAGACCTAGAGATATGTTTCACGTGTCATATCTGTATTCATGTCCACTCAGAAATGAGCTGCAACTGGCTTAAAAAAAAAAGATGGCCTCTTGACCAAGGCAGATTACACTTGTCTTTTCAGTGCTGATGGTTGGATTAGGTGTGTGCAACCACATCTGTAGAGACCCAGACAGCATGGATCGAACCACAGGTTCACTGGGTTACACCGTGCACAGAATCAGACCACAGTGGGTTCAGACCTCGTCTGTGTTTTGAAACCAGTGCCTTACAATAAAACTCCTCTACTGGCAAATATACCAAATAGCTAAGTTCTTTAACGAAACCTAGAGTTTTAATACAAATACACACGTGTTTATCTATGTTGCTGTCCCCTCCCCGCCTCCCGCAGTTGAAGACTTCTATTGGTCAGACATAGCAATCTCCTTGCTCACTCGATATTGGAAAGAGAGACACCAGTCCAGTGGCATTTCAGTCCTCCATTATCCCGGCCTGAAGCCCCCATGGCCTCCATGATCTTAGCGATCGTTCCAATGCTGCTGAGTCACTGCAGATCTTGAGCCTGCAGGGAACATTCCACATGCTGGCTGATTTGGAGTATCATAGTCCAGTCTTAGAGTAGTGAGAGCTGGTCTAATGCATCCTCAGCTCAACAGTCAGATTTCTGTTGTCATGTTTATTGATACATTTGGCTGAAATATAGTTAGTAAGGCTTAAACACGTTAACATTCGGGAAGGTTACACCCAGACAATACCATTCATTAAAAAATGCAGTTTGCAGTCTTAAGTTTTTATTTTTTTATTTTTTTAAGACTTAGATTCAATTCTGAGGAATAAAAGAGAAATTTTCTGCAACATTATGTCCGTTTGGGGTTTGATTAGCAGCCAGCTTTGCTTTTCTTTAGATGCCTCCAGTTTTTTTCTTTTTTTTTAATAATTGGCTTGCAAGTCCTTAAAAATCATATAATAAATTTAGGGTGGAAGCAGTTCCTGTTCCGTTTTGAAAAGAAAAATCACAGAAAAGACAAGTGTAAGCAAAACATAAAGTTCCAGATACACATATGCCTGACTTTTCATGAGGTAAAAAAATACTGTTAAACTCTGATTCTATGTTGATAAACATGTAGTAGTCCACTTTTTTGTGCTGTTTTTTTTTATATATATATTATTATTTTTATTTTTACGATGGTTTATCTTGTTCTTGAAAAAAAGCAGAGATTGTATTTGTTGGAAGTTGCTGCTTAAATGCCCTGAAGCCTTATGAGACAATGATTCTGTTCAATTTGTGTCCAATTTGAGAAAAACCGACAGGAAACGGTGAACAATCTGTGATTTAAAAAAAAAAAAAAAAAAAAAAAACAGCGGATAGCTCTGATTTTAAAATTTGTTCAGGAGCACAACCAACGAGGCTGTGTTCTCGGTACCAAAATATTTATGAAGCCTGCTGTGTTTGCTGCTGTACTTGTCTTTTTTTTATTATTATAATAATAATTATTATTATTATTATTATTTGCATTGAACTGTCAATGTAGATGGTGAATTCTAGGTTTGGACCTTGGAATCTTTGGATTATAATTCAACATGTAGGAACCCAGGAAAGCTACATGTTTGCAGCCATGTATAGAAAACAAAACTCCTTGTTAAGTGTGTGAACTGTGGTGTTCCAGAAAGGATTAATCAACCCTGTTTTCCTTTGAGTGTTTTTTTTATTATTATTATTTTTATTTTTCAGGGGAAGAAAAAAAATATGAAGATAACCTTTAGAGACTTTTGAATCTCAATTCCAACGTTATCGAGCTGTTGTACAACGTCTGGTTGCTAATTTTTTGTGCAGCAAAGGAGTAGAAAGGAAGCATAAAAGGAAACTTATGCAGTTCTCAATAATCGGGCAGGGATGTTAGTGTGGCGAATGAAGAGATGAGGCACGCAAATAGTACATTTGGAAGCACGAACCGCTTGGGTCCTCTCCCTGAGCTTCGCCACCATGTGGGTTCTTAGTCAGCCGATAGATGTAGCCGGTCCACGTCTCCGAAATCGTGTCGCTCCACTGTGTTCTCTTGGTTAACAGGAACGGTGACGACTTGTTTAGACCACGTCTGCCTGCTCATAATCTCATGATCTTTCCAGTCAACAAGAAGTGAAGAAAGCAGCCCTTATCTGCTCCTCAGTTCCTGAAATAGCTTAAATCCAGTTGAGTTGGTGCTCAGTTTTAAAAGCTGTTCTCCCATTTTGTAGAACAAACTTGCCTCCCCTCCCAGAAGGGGAAAAGCCCGTTGGAAGTAGTTGTCGTAGGAATACAGTTTTATTGCCCGGCCCGGCGTAAACCAGAGGATGAGTCTGGACAAGTGTGGCCATGAAGCTGTTGGCCTGGTATAGTTCGTTGTTCCGTGATGATCTTTGATGAATCCTTCACTGTGTTCAGGATCCAGACTGTAAAAATCCCCAGTTTACCAAATGTCCCCGCCCCTGCTGAAGACACACTGGATACTTGTATATATGTTTAGTTTGTTTCAAAAAGCATTTCTCTTTTCAGACTGTTGTCTCCATAGTTTGAAACTAGAATCTCTCCTTGCCTTTTTTTTCCTATATACATCTGATTACCTGATGGTGGGTTGTGATGTTGCCTAGAATGATTGTTTACAATTTTATTCCATTTATCTCTGGATATTCTGTAAATATTGTAATTCATTGTCTTTTTTTAACTTGATAATAAAGTTATCAGAATACTGAATGTCGTCGTCCTCTGCTCTAACTGTCGTCCTGCAAAATGTCGGATCCTTGGAAATGACACAAAGGAGAACTGAAGCTTATGATGAGGTTTTATTTTAAAATATGACTGAAGTGTAGTGAAATCATCCTTTCCTGATTTAACTAAGGTTCCCTTCAAGAATGGAATTGGAGTTGGAGAATATCTGTCAGCGCTTTGCAATTCTAGGGAGTGGAAGTTTTGCCAATTAGTCTTTGCAAAGCAAAGCCTTGAACAGAGAGCATCTGAAAACTGAAATTTCCAGGTCTGGCTGCAGATTCTCAGTTGGATTCAGGTCTTGACTTTGACTACGCCATTCTAACATGAAATGAATATGTTGTGACTTAAACTCTGCTCAGTTTGTATGTTTAGGATCATCCTACTGAGAGATGATTGAAGCTCCTATATATTTGTCTCTGTCGTCTCTGACCAGATTCCCTGTCCTTGCTAAGGACAATGATCACCACAGTATGGTGCTCCTTATGGCTCTCTAACAACAATTGTTTTCTTTTTTTAATCGCTTTCATTTTGATCTTTTTTGATCTCTGTTTAGGTTTTTTTCTAGTTAGGCCTAGTTTCCTAGTTTCATTTTCTGATGGTGCATTGAACAGAGAGCTCTGTAAGCACCCTGACCTGCCTGCTGTGTTCCTTGGTCTTTATGATGCTGTTTGATCTCTAGTGTTCTCCAACAAAACTACGAGGCCTTCACAGAGCAGCTGGGTTTATACTGACCTTAAAACATCTGAAGGTAATGGGTTGCACTGGATTCTGTTTAGGGCCATCAGACCTGAGACTGGAGTCTGTATTATTTTATTCTAAACAAATGTTGAAAACAATGTCTCGCAGAAATAACCTTTTGTGTTGGTCTGTCACATCATAGCCTAATAAAATACACAGACGTTTGTGGTTGCAGTGTGTAGAAATGTAACAAAAAGTTTAAAAGATTGCTTTGGTTTTCTTCTTTTTGAGGGTAAGGTCTGTAATCGGTGGCTCCAATTTGAATTTAGAAATTAATGGTCAACGCACTGAGCAGGTTTCAGAAGTGAATTATTGTGGTTTTGTTCTGGATTCTCATTTAAAAATTGAAAAAATTGTGAAAATGATGAGCAGAGTTGCAAAAGCAAACCTTCATACATCTACATCTGCACCTATATTTAGACTAATTCAAGCTTTTCCTTGATTTCATGTTGTAAATAGTTCCATGCACTACATGATTCTCACGTAAGTTACCTTGTGACATCCTGGTTTTATGTTAAATCAACCATGAGGCCTCTAAGGATGAAATATGACCAAGCAATCAAAACCTTGAACATAAAACCTGCTAGATTTAATCATGCTTTATTCAATTTTGCAATTTCTTATGAATTTTTAAATGCAAGATTGGGCTCCTCAGTTGCTCAGTGTCGTTGCAGTTACTCTAGGTTTAGTAACTCATGGTGCATTCAGCAAGAATCGTAAGGTATCTTTTTGTGAAACCTTTTTTAGTCAAACCGCTTTTTTCTGTGCAAGCGGTTAATTGCGTGGAGTTATTTACCTGAGGACTTCAAATTGATTGCAGACTGGCAAATTTTCAGAATAAGACATAAGGAGTTTTTTTTTTTTTTTTTTTAAGACCAGGCTTGCAGACATGTAAACAGCCAGTCCATGATGGTGATACTTTTAGAATGTATGTACTTGCAATATTTTTTTTACTGTCTTTAAAAGTATTCTATATTGCCAGATGCCCATCTGCGGTGGTGTATTGTAAATGAATTAAGGCTATAAATATTGTGATGGATAGATAGATGGAAACTGAATAAAATAGGTAAATAGTCACTGCGCTTGGATGAGAAAGCATGTCAGTAGCTTTCATTGGCTACACCCTTCCAGTCATCTGTTTTCTTCTGAACTACTGTCCACACCCTCCAAGAACCCCGCTGACCGAAACCACGCATGTTTTTGAGTATCTGTTCAAGACACTTAATCCTGCAGGGCAGATGTTTTCAAAAAATGGCTTCAAGTTTTCGGAAGTCTATGGACACAGTTTCTTTCTTTCTTTTTTCCACTGAAATTCTCATTTTCACGTCCTTCCCTACTCTGCCTTCTTAAGGTGGGGGAATGGGGGCTGAGTCTTTATTTCACATGTCTAACATCATCTCTTAAAAATATCTTTGAGTCGCCAGGGATCAGACTGTAATCTCTGCAGCTCTCCACTTCAGAGGAGGCCGATGGCAGACTGACGACCCCTGGAGACAGGAGCAGGAGACACAGTCACAGAGTGGGAGAAGAGAGGAGAGGGGAAAAGAGGACAACAGTACAGCTGCCAAGTGGAGCAGCATAAGGAATACCTGATGAGACTATGCGTAGGCCAAGGCCAGTGAGGCCACTGCTCCTTCTGTGAAAACGTGATGGAGGCGGGGGGATAGCCTGAGTAGAGAGGAGGACCTCAGGATGCGAGAAGAGCAGGCCAAGCAAAGAGACGCAGAAGGACAGAAAGAGAAGTGGGAGATGAAGATTGACTAAGACTACACAATATTGCAGAACACCTTGAATATTTTATTTTTTGTACTTTGCAGCCCTCCTAAAGTGACCACTGGGCAACATCGTTGAAAAAAAAAAGAAAAAAAAGAAAAAACAGCATTACATAAAAGCTTTGAATATTGAGTGATAACAGGCGATTTTACAAGTGTTAAAGGGTTGTGATTGTAGGAACTTTCTCATCATTTTCTATTGCAACACAAACATAGACACAAGCCATTTTTCCATGTTGCCCATTAATCAGCAAACTGAACCTTTATACATATTCTTAATGCCTGCCCTTACTCTTTATGTTCATGGTTACTTTGTATTAAGATAAATTAATTGTGATAAGCATTTTTTTGTTGTTGTTGTTTTGTTTTTTTGCTTTAACCAAACTGTAATTGAAGGGGAAATCTGGAATATATTCACTCCAGCTTAGTGCTGAATGAATGAGGTTGATCCATAGACTGGAAGTCAAATTAAATAAGTTTTATTTATACAATCGCTGACAAAAACACCATAACCAAATATCTAATTAGCTGTAAAAGAGAGTGAATAAACATGGGTATTTGACTAACATAGTTAAATAAAAAAATTTTAAAAATCACTCAATACAGTGCACTAATATTACAATTTCTGAGTCAAATTGAACGCAAACACAACATATGATGTTGTTCACCATCTAACCACTAGGTGGACCATAAGCACGATGTATAACACACGAAGAAGAGAACCGAAAAGTCATGGCGGCTGACAGGTTGTGATGAGCCAACGAAAAAAACAGTGGAGTCTTTCAAGTTGGATTTAATAGATTTAAGCCAGTCCAGTCCGGGTCAAGCTCGACTGACAAGATGCTGATAACTCTGAAGACATTACAACAACAAACATTTAAAATTGACATCGATGAGGAGGAGACGGTGAGAGATAAAAATATAAGTGAAGGGGGTGGAGTGGGAGTGGGGTATGTCCTGGAACCGAGAACAGTTTTGGAATGTATCATAACAGGCACGTCCATAAGTAGGTTTGCGAAAATTCATGGAATGTTATTTATGTATTTGTCCTCAATGCGTCCTACTTAAGCTTTGTATAATTATGTTACCATTTCTGAACTAGTCAAAGTAACTGACTTGTACATATTGAAAAAGTGACTTGTGTTATCAGTAATTAGCCGCAGCCCACGTGATGTTTGAAATGATTTACTTACTAACTTTTACTTTCGGTGGGCTTATATGATGTTCTTTTTTCATGTACGGGGACTGCGTAATATTTTAATTTAACCAAAAGGAGACTGTAACTTTTTTTTACCTTCTAATTTGTCTGTTAAACTCGATTTAACCCTGGTCGTTGTGGCAATTTCAGAAGGAAGCCGTTATTTTTGTAGGCGATATGTCACAGGGAATTTGGTTTGTTGAACCAGTTTTATGAGAGCAGGTAAAGCTCACTTCCTTTATTACTCTTAGCAACTAAACGGATGTTTTAAGGGTTGTAAACAGTTGTGCAACATAACATGTGAACACCATTGTTAACGTTTTTTTCATGCTTTTTCTATAGGTGAAAACATTAAAAGAGAGGATTGAAAAGGAGAAGGGGAAGGACATCTTTTCGGTTGCAGCACAGAAATTGATCTATGCTGGTATGATATGTGCAAATTCATAAAATAAGATGCTGTCCCATGTTTTTGGAGTCTTTGGTAGAGATGTGTGAAAGTCTGGAAAAGTATGGGATTTTATTTTTCCAAGTCTGATTAAATAGGGGGGTGGGAGAAGACAGGTGGGAAAAGGTCTGCAAACTTTACAATTCAGCCATTTTTGCCCTCAGTAAGCTAAATAAGTAATTTAGAGTTGCAAATGTTACACAACTTTTTGAAAAAGGGCAATTTATATGTGATAAATATTCATTATAAGAAGTTTGTTGTGATTTTTAAAGAACTGAACTTTTTTAAAGAACTTTTTCTGTATCTTGGTTTTTAAAACAGTCAGTCATGAAAAGCATCACCAACGTTTTGAGATGCCAGGAGACTTTGCATATAAATCTGCCAGACAACTGAAAGGACAATGATTTAAAACGTGTGGCAAAATTAACACAGCGATTTCTGTCTTTGTAAGTCAGTACAAAGACAGAAGTCCCACAGAAAAGCTGCAGCTTGAAGCGAACAGAGTGACCCAGAAGTCAAAAGCTGATTGCATCAAGTGTTGAGAGCAGAGGAAACAACAATTGTGTAACTGAAAAAAGTTGTTTCTTCATACAGATTTTTTCCCCACTAAATGAAGCTACCCACAATCCATGTGCAACTTTATTTTCACCTATAGATTTGATGGATTATGGTCAGCTTCATAAAGTAAAAAAAAAAAAGAACTGTAACCACATGGACAGTGCAGAATTAAAGAAGTCTCTGAGTGGTTAATAGTTTTATTTAAGAGGCCTTTGTTTAGATAAGTGATGCATATTTTGCTACATTTGCTTCGTTTTCCATAGTAATGCTAAGT